CGTACAAGTTTGCCAGGGTAGGAGTAACAGTACTAGAAGTTTCCTTGTACATATCCAGCGCCTCTTGGAAGAGTTGTACAGCCTTTTCCGAATCGCCTTCCACTTTCCTTGCCAATCCCTCTTCATTCAGTATGGCTATTTTTGTGTCGCGCTCTAGCTCAAATGCTTTGAATTGTCTCCCATACTTCAACCATTCGAGGTCGACCTCAAGCTTTTTTATCTTGGAATGATCACTGCCAAGCTCCTTTCGAATATTCATGGCTTTCGAGTACGCATTGATGGCATCTTCTACCATTTCTTGTTTGACGTATGCTCGCCCAATCTGGTCATACACCCAGGCTGTTGTGATGTGCATTTCACCTACCGTTTTGATGTGGACTTTTAGCCTTTTGTTTAGCGCCTCCGTTTCAGCTACCAAGTTGCCCTTTTCTCTTAGTATGTCGGCTTTGATGTAGAGCGTTTTCCCCAATAAATCCATGTCGGAGTTTCCTAGTCGATTGCAAACTTCGATGGCTCTATCAATCATCTGAAGAGCATCGTCCAACCGATGTTGACTTCTCAGCAAGTTTGTAATGCCACTATATACATTGACAACGCCGGGGTGATCTTCCCCATGCATTTCTAGTAGTGTTGCAAGTTGATGTCTGTGAATCTTATGTGCTTCTGCATACTTACCTTGCTTTAGCATTGACCGCACCAAAAAAAAATAGAGTTGAGACACTTCATGATGATCATTTGGCAGAAGTTCGAGGATGATTTCCAGAGCTTTCTGGAACATTTCTTCTGCCTTTTGGCCGTCTCGGTCCTCCAAGATACAGCCAATGAGCATGTAGGTTTGGGCCGTTTCACTGTGTCTTCCCAAACGTTCCACTTGTATTGCAAGTGCTCTATTGAATTTCTCCAAGGCTTCATCCGCTTCTTCTTCAATAATCAGGATCGATCCAATCTCGTGAAGTGCACAGGCAATAGAAAGATGGTCGTCACCTAAGTCGATCCTCAGCATCTCCAATGCTCTTTCCCAATCCTCCCTTGCTTCTTGATATTTTCCTTGTTGAAAACGGACTTGGGACGCTTCGATGAGTTCCGTAACCGGGCCTTGTTCGTGGCCCTCCATCGTTCTGCTTTTTATAATAGAATCCTCCTGTCTAGTCTGTTTTTTTCATTTGCCAATCCCTGTCTATTCAGTGCTCTCGGATTTTTCTCTCTCTCTAGTATTTCAAGGAAAAGAACGAGCTTTTGCATGCGGGGATGATCATCGTCAAGCCCCTTTCGAAGGATGTTGATGGTTTTCGTGCAGGCCTTGATGGCATCTTCTGTATTGCATTGTCTATAGTACGCCATTGCAAGGTACTCATACGTTTTTGCTGTACAGGGGTGCATTTCACCTGTCGCTTCTATTTTCATCAGTAAGACTTTGTTGAGCACCTCCGTGGCAGCTTCCAAGTTGCCCTGTTTGTTCAGTATGCCTACTTTGCTGCCAAGAGTTGCTTCCAAGATCTTTCTGTCGAATTCTAGAATACGAGTCAGTCTGTAGTCTACCTTATTGATCCTTCTTTGAGATATGATGATGTTATTCCCAAAGAATAATATACCATGTTCGCGCGTCGTCGAGATATACGTGTCGTGAAGAAGCTATTATATTTGGTCAAAGCAGTCGACAATAAAAAAGCCGAAATTCTGTAGAAGCATATATGACGATCCCGACACAATGAGTACTGTAGGTTTCTGCATGCATTTTTCTTTTGGAATGATGCTCCAGTATGTTTCGCCACTCCTACAAATGAATCTGAGGACAGTCCAAGAATTGCACTCTATAATGGGCAGTATTCGGTATTCTGCGTTGCATGGACATTGGCGAATCCTCCGCGAGCTTAAGATTCTATACGCCCGTTGAGAATAAGATGGGATTTGATCCTTTTGACGGATCGAACTCTCGTATCTGATCAAATACTATTACGTATAATGTGCTCCTTGTACAGCCCATTTTTTCAACTTTCAGGTTTCACAAGTGAGTATCGGTGGGTCGGTTTTCAAGAATAAAACATGACTGTAATTCCAACAGTAGCTGCCCCTTGGATCGTCCAAATCCAAAGCCGTCGTCCTTATGGCTACAGGCCATGCCATCATCTCCTGGTATGACTTTCTTTTCGTGACACTTGATTCGCGTTCATGTTGCCTTGACCTTTGGTTGCCTTGGTGCAAAAGGGCTTGGAACATCTTCTTTGTCACTATTTCCCAAAGTGCTGTACTATGTTACAATGATCCTGCAGCACAGCAAGCACAACTGGAGCCCTTGCACCTTTATCAGTTGATGTTTTTTCCCATTATCTGACAACATTTGGCTGCAATATCGGTAACGTTGTGGATGGTGGTGGGAAGCCACCACAATGGAAGTGAGATGCAAGTGGTTCGGGGACTGCACTGCAATCGACCCCTCGACTGCGCTTGATAAGAGAGACATCCGATTGAGTGCAAGG